TCTCTCTCTCGGTCTGTGTCTCTCTCTCGGTCTGTGTCTCTCTCTCGGTCTCTCTCTCTCTCTCTCGGTCTCTCTCTCTCTCTCTCTCGGTCTCTCTCTCTCTCTCTCTCGGTCTCTCTCTCTCTCTCTCTCTCTCTCGGTCTCTCTCTCTCGGTCTCTTTCACACATGCGCTCTCTCTCTCACACTGAATCCCTCTCCCCTCCCCCCCACACGTCCACACACAGACATACATGCACGGAGAGATGCGTGCACGCTCTCTCTCACCCGCGCTCCCCTTCTCTCGCCCACCCGTGCACTCCCCCCCCCCCCCCCCCCCCCCCCCCCGTCCCCCCCCCCTCGCTGTCTGTCTGCGTGCGCCCCTTCTCGCGCACACATGCTTGTGTGTGTGTGTGTGTGTGTGTGCTTCCTTCACTGGATCATTATAGCCTCTGCTCCATCACTCTGTAGGGGGGTAGCTGAATCCTGCTAAGCCTTTCTCCTTCAGGAGAGAATGTCTCATTCCTGTGATATACTTCATCTGATGTCAGACTGGTGAAAGTTAGCTCTAGTTTGCGAGTTGAAACTAGGTTGATTCCAGAGTTGAGAGTGTTGACTTATGAGGAGAGACTGAGTAGACTGGGATTATATTCATTGGAATTTAGAAGAATGAGGGTGGACCTTATAGAAACATATAAAATTATGAAGAGAATAAATAAGATAGAAGCAAGGAGGATGTTTCCACTGGCAGGTGAAACTAGAGCAAGAGGGCATAGCCTCAAAATTAAAGGGAGCAGATTTAGGACTGAATTGAGGAGGAACTTCTTCATCCAGAGAGTTGTGAATCTGTGAAATTCCCTGCCCAGCGAAGTTGTTGAGGCTTCCTCATTGAATGCTTTTAAAGCTAAGATAGGTAGTTTTTTGAACAGCAAAGGAATTAAGGGTTATGGTGAGAGGGTGGGTAAGTGGAGCTGAGGCCATGAAAAGATCAGTTATGATCTTGAGTGGTAGAGTGGGCTCGAAGGGTCAGACGGCCTAGTCCTGCTCCTGGTTCTTGCGTCCTTATGAAATCATCTCTTCTAGTTTGGGGACCTATTGTGAGACCTAATATTTTGGTGAATAATCATGTTTGTTGAAAAAGGAAATTGAAGGAAGTTATGGTGCTTGCAACGTTTCTTCACCATAATGATATACCACCCATGCCCACAAATCCTGTTTTTCATAATATCTGTCTCTAACAGTCTAATCATAAACTTGGAATCTGATGTAAAATGCTACCTATTTGTAATATTCTGTTATTGTCAGTTTAAAAGCATATTTTTTGTTTCCTTCCAGGTAATTGATGAACAATATGTTCAGTCCGGGACAAATGGCCTCAGAGAAATGTATGGAAAGCTGCTAGACTTCATTCCTAACCACTGTCGGCTCCTCCAAGATGTGACTGGAGGAGCAGTAATTGGGTGAGTTGCGTGCAACGAATAACCCTTTATATGTCCAACATCCTGAAATTAATTTTCTTGATTGTTGCATCTTCCATGGAAGCAACTTTTACTCATCCCAGACTAGCTGTTAATTTTCTGGAAGATTAACCTCACACATGGGCAGAGAATGATCAAGAACAGCCTATACAATTGGATTATATATTATATATAGATTAATAATTTGATTATAAACAAATCAGAATGGAGAAATGAGCCTTTATATGTTCCAGCAGCATGAAAAGTTCACTCAGATGAAGATCAGAAATTCAGAATGACAGAGGAACCTGGCAAAAACCAAGACTGAAACATTTACAACCAAAGTCAAACTGATCCAGTACAGTTACAACACATTCATCTATCTAATGAAGCGGAAAATTATCCTCTCTACAAAAAGCAGAACAAATCCATTCTAGCCAATTATTGCTCATCAGTGTATTCCTATACATCAACAGAATGCTAGGAAGTGTCATTAACAGTGCTGTCAGCTGGCATTTTCTCAGAAATAAACTGATCATCAGTATTCATTTTGGGTTTCACCTGGACCATTCAACTCCAAACAATACTACAACTTTGATACAAACAAGGACAAAAGAGCTGAGCTCCAAAGGTGAAATGTATAATTGCCTTTGGTATTAAGGTAGCATTTGAGCAAGTGTGGCACTAAGGAGCCCAAGTAAAGTTGATGTCAAATTATGGAAAATTTTCTACCTGTTGAAGTCATACTTAACACAAAGAAAGGTGATTGACATCCCAGGATATTGCTCCAGGAGTTTCTCAAGAGTTGTATTCCAGGCCTAGCCTGCAATTTGACCAATGACCTTAATTTGTTCAGAAGTGAGGATGTTTGCTGTAGATTGCACTATATTCAGTTTTATTAACTACAATCTGATGAAATTGTCTGTGTTTGCTTGTTGCAAGACTCACAGAACATTCAGGCTTGGGCTGAACTGGCAAGTAACATGATGTTAAAGCTTTGGAGAGGCTGCAGAAAAGATTTACTAGAATGACAGCATGGATGAAAGCAGGGTTGCTCTCTGTAGAAGAGTGGAGATTGAGGAGATTTGATAGAGGCATGCAAAATCATTAAAGGTTTTGAAAGAGATTTGTGTGCAGAAGAGTGGCACAGCAGGACACAGATTTAAAATGTGGTGATAACAGAAAAAAATTATATTAAGTTCTTACAATCTAGAATTCACTGCCCAAAAGGTGCCTGAAGCAGATTCAATAGTACCATAGAAAATAAACACCAGAAGGAATTATTTTTTACACTGCTGTGGGGATAGAACTAGGAGGTGGAGTTAATTGGATAGCTATAGCAAGAAGCTGAAAGGCATTTTAGTTCAAAACGCTGCTTTCTGTGGCTATATCATTGTATTAGGCTCGATGGTTAACCCACTACAGTAGAAGGGACTTTGGGGTTCTATAATCCCTCAATGAAGCAAGGCCACTGACAGTCACCAGAAGTGAGAACCCTGTTAAATGTTAACCTGAGATTTGTAGTTCCATGTTCCACTCCCCATGTCAATCTGGAGTGGGGCTCATACCTGACACTGATTGACAGGCAGAGACAACAATTTTTCCAGAGTGAACATTTTATATTACGTAGAATAAATGAGACTTCTGAATTTATTTTTAGTTTGCAATGGATTTCTAAGCATTAGAGAACTTGCCTTTGGGTTTCTATAAAATGGTGTTAATTTATCGTTGTTATGTAATCATCCTGTTAGGAATTTGATCCTATATCAGACACAGGTAGAGATTATTCAATTGTACATTATCCTTTGAAGTTCCAAATTGATTGTTATGTGACTTTCAGGACTCTAACAGTCTAAAAATATATTTTCATGGGATTTGAGCATTGTTGGTAAGGTCAGCATTTGTCGCCCAGTCCTTTTGCTCCCTGATAGAAGGTAACTTGAATTTTCATCCTTTTGGACAGTATCCTGCAGATGTTCATTCAGATCGCAGGCTTAAAATTTATTAAAGAACTGGTCCTTATTATTGAGTTAACCTCATATTCTTAAGAATCATTCACCCTACATCTTACGGTGTGATCTTTTGCCCCTACATTCATCACCTCTCCAACATGCAATGTCCAATGTCCAAATGTGTTCCTTGTAAAATGTCTACATGTTGCATTTGTAAAGGATGTGCGACCATAAGTACTGGAGCTTTTAATTGCACACAAAATGAAGTAGTTCTAAAATGTGCAAATCAAACTTTCACAGATTTCACATATGGTATTAATGCATGCACAGCTGTTTGAATAAATTACTATATTTGTTATGGCCTTATTTTGTGTACATTCTGTGTTCTAGTGATAAGGCAGAAGTGATTCCAGGCTATGATTTTACAGTGAATTCAGTCTGGCCAGAAATGGTACGAGGTTTAGAAGAAAAGGTGCCTTCGTTATTTAATCCAGGAAATCCAGACATGTTCCATGAGGTAAGCGACTATGTACCAGTTTTTCTGTTATACGTACAAGCTTTTAGTAAGGAAGATGCATTCATATTTGCATAAAACTTCCATGACCTTCGATTGTGCCACAGCGCTTCTTAGTCAAGTAAGTACTTTTTGAGATAGCCCCACTTTTGTAATGTGGCAGCTACTCTGTGTACAGCAAGTTCCCAGAGATAGCACTTAGAATGACCAGATAATCTGTTTTAGTCATGTTAGCTGAGATAGATTTTGCTACAAGAATGGGGAGAATTCCACTGATACTTTACAAAACAATGCCGTGGGATCTCTTCTGTCCACCTAACCGTGCAGACAAAGTCTCAGGTTAACATCTCAGCTGACGGATGACAGCTCTGATGGTGAAACAGTCCCTCAAAGCTGGCACTGGCTGTCTCAGCCTTGAGCTTATAACTGAATTTCTGGGATTGGACTTAAACCATAACTTGTAGACTGATGTGACAAGAGCACTAGAAACTGATGCCTATGGATTAGTGGATTTCAAGTGTAACATTTGCAGCTTGGCTTAGAGAATTTAACCTGCTGTTCAAGCATAAACTTTCCTCCCAAAATTGTTGCTTATTATCTTTGTTTTACATATCCCTTTCCATTCACGTATATAACTACCTGGCTGTTATGCATATAAGGGTAAGATTGAGATCATGGTGAGGATTTCCACCAGAGTGCTGTGTGTTTGGATAGTTTTTGGTGAGGTTGTAAGAACCACAGGCAAGGAGGAATGGAGTCCTGCCAAAGTTGGGGGATGGCTATAATGAGCTTGTACATCTTATTGAGAGCCGTGATGTTAATCAATACATTCAGAATGAGTTCCTTTTATCTGTTATCTAACAAGCTCAGATTTGAGACCATTTTTTAAAAAAAAATTAAGAAGTGCCTTATTAGCTGTAAACTCCTTTGGGGCGTACTGGAGTTTTGAAAGGGGGTATATAAATGACCCTTACCATCCTGAATTGGAAACATATCACTGTCGCTGGGTCAGTATCCTAGAATTCCCTTCTTAAGGGCTTTGTGGGTCGACCTACAGCACATGGATTGCAGCGGTTCAAAAAGGCAGCTCACCATCACCTTCTCAAGGGCAGCTAGGGATAGGCAATAAATGCTGGCCAACCAATGACATTCACGTTCCATGATTGAATAATAAAAACTTGCACTCTAGTTGTCTCTCTAATACAGTCAATTACATGCGCTTTCTCTCATGCAGTTATCATGTCTACCCTTGTTTGGTGAGAGGGTTGGCATGTAAGATAAGCAGGATCTTTGGTGTAAGAATGACTTTGCATAATTCATTGACTCATCTCTCCTTGTCATTCAACATTCCATCAACCCTTTGAGATTTCTATGCTCCTCCAATTCAGTCATCTTGGCCATCCCCAATTTTAATTGTTTAAGCTACCTGGATTCTAAACCCTGCTATTTACTCCATAAACTTTCTCAATCTCTCTTTTCTCCTTAAAGAAACTTCTAAAAATTCTGCCCATTTTCCAGTCCTAATAGTGTTTTATGTTGCCTGGTGTCAAATATTTTTCTGAAACTCGAATGAAGCGCCTAAAGACACTCTGATCACATTGAAGCACTATATATTTATTTGGTTACCCTCCCAAGACTATTTTAATGACCATTCTCCATGTTGGATATTCCAGAAATACACAGTAACTATGGAATTCGTTAGAAAATTTGAGTGGCAGTGTGCATCCCAAGCAAGTGTAAAGAGACTGCGATCACACTCGGCATATAAGAGTTTCAACAATAAATGGAGCCTGCCTGTTTACTACCAGATCAGGTATATCTGCCTTTAATAATAGTTATCTCCAATCCGGTATCAACTCATGACTGCAACCTGTAAATTAAGTTGTCTGCTCCTGATCACTTATGCTAATAACATTTCATGTTTCAATAATTTAAGCAATGTACTTAGCACAATGAAGTGGACATTTAGTGGAATTGTTTTGATGAGTTCAATTCTGAGTTAAGTACTTGAACTTTTTAATACGCTAGCATCCTATCTGGATGCATCACATTGTGGTATGCAATTGCTCTTCCCAAGACTGCAAGAAACTAGAGAGTCATGAACACATCCTCGTCCATCACGTAAGCCAGCCTTCCATCCATTGACTTCATCTATACTTCCTGCTGCCAACATAAAGCAACCAACATAATCAAAGACTTCTCCCACCCCGGTTATACTCTCTTTCACCCTCTTCTATCAGGCAGAAGATACAAAAGTATGAATACACATACAAACAAATTCAAGAACAGCTTCAAAAACAGAAATTGCTGGAAAAGCTTAGCAGTTCTGGCAGCATCTGTGGAGAGAAATCAGAGTTAATGTTTCGGGCTGAGTGACCCTTCTTCAAGAACAGCTTCTTCCGCTGCTGTTATCAGATGTTTGAATGGACCTCTCAAATATTAATGTTGATCTCCCTCTCTGCACCTTCTTTATGGCTGTAACACTGTATTCTGGACTCTCTTTGCTACCCTGATGCACTTTGTATGATAGGATCTGCCTGTACAGCACACAAAACAGCACTTTTCACTGTGTCTTGGTACAGAAGCAACTTAATCAAATTGCTAAAATAATCTTTGTTTTATTTGTTATCTTCAGTTAGTCTATATGAAAGTTTAAAAAGAATTAACAGTAAAATAAATAACATGACCATTTGTATTTTAACCCAATCCTTTAATAGGTTCAAGGAAATTGCTGGAAATTTGGAGACCTCTATGTCTGAGGGTTTAAAGGAAGCGCCAGGTAAGAACTTTGCACTAATTGGGAAATTCTGAAAAGAGGAACACACAGCCTCCTCAAACACAACAAATCCTGTGTGAATCGACAAGGCTAATGTTTGTTTATTCTTAATAGATGGAAGTGAGTTTAGGCTTTCAGTTACTCACATTCTGTGGCAGAACCTTCTGAAATGCTGGGCTGATCACGTCTATCTCCCTCCACTTGCTCACCGCTTCTGGAAGTTGACTCTGCAGTTGCTAGCACGTTATTCTAAGTGGATAGATGAGGTGAGTGATCCTTTACTCTGCTTTCTAAAATTGCCTAGATGGAAATCACTTGAAGTCTTACAGCTCAAAAAAAGGAGATCATTCAAACCATTGTGTTTGTGATGTTCCTTTCAAAGTTCTAACCAATTCATCTGACTGCTCCCTTGCTCTTTTCCTGTTGTTTTACCTTTTCAATAATGTGCCGTTTCCCTTTTGTGAAAGCTACTATTGAGAGGGTTTCTACCACTTACTATGCAGTGCCTTCCAGATTATTGTAACTCGCTGTTTTGGTTGGAAAAAAACCTTGTACTCATTTTCCCTCCCTGACTTTTTTTGCTAAAGGAGGAATATCATCCTGATGCTGTAACCTGTTGGGAGTGTTATTTAATTTATAGTTTGAATTAGATTGAGTTGGACTGTTGCATTATGTAAAGTGCCAGTTCATTGGTGTTGTAGGTGGTCTGCCACTTCCTTTGCATCGCCCTACACTACCAACAACAGATGTTTTAATATTCCGACAGATAATAGACACCTTACTGGAATGAATGCAGTTCATTACTGAGATTCTGTTCAAAGCTATCACACCTTCAATTTTGTCAGCAGACTTATGTCCCTTTCATAAAAATCCTGAACACCGTTGAGCACGGAGGGTAGTGGAAATTTGCAGCAGTTTCCTCAAAAGGCTATTGAGTTTGGCAATCAGGCAAAAATTTTAATAAAGATTAACAGATTGAGTTAGGTAGGAGTTTTAAGGGTTAACAAATTAAACCTAATATATGGAGTTAAGTCACTAATGGGTGAATGGCTTGCTCATCTCTTTATGTTTCTAACAATGAGGAATGTTAGTTCAACATTCAAGATTTGTCCTGTAGGTGCCGACTTCTCCATACCTAACCTTGCCAAACATTATGAATTACTAAGGAAAAGAATTACCTAATTAATTCTGTACCAGCAGTGTACAAATGGAGTTAAAGAAATGATTCCACCTCATAGGAACATGTACATTTCTAACTTGATACCATTGTTATGGTACTGGTACATTTGTTAAACTGAACAGTGTGGCATGAGGGAGTAGCCATACTGCCCAAGTTAAATGCAAATGTGATTAATTATTTGTTAAGACATGGCATTTTTTTGAATTGAGCATTTAAATCCATATAGCTCCAGCGATTTGGGATTAGTCTGAACTTTACTACAACAGCAACAACTTATATTTATATAATAGACTGTTGCAAGGTGATTTGCAAGGAATTGGATCTTAATCTTCTGACAAGTGGTTGGCAAAATGGCTCAGTAGTTAGTACTGCTGCCTCACAGCACCAGGGACCCAGGTTCAGCTCCAGCGTTGGGTGACTGTCTGTGTGGAGTTTGCACATTCTCCCTGTGTCTGCTTGGGTTTCTGCTGGTTTTTCCAGTTGCCTTCCACGGTCCGAAGATGAGCAGGATACGTGGCTTGGCCATGCTAAATTACCCTGTAGTGTTTAAAGCTGTGTAGGTTAGATGAATTAGCCATGGTAAAAGTGGGGTTACAGGGATAGAGTGGGGGCCGGGTCTGGGT